CGAGTACTTCCTGATGCTGAGGGCTTGGTTCGAAGAGCAGAGGTGAAGACGAAATTGGGCGTCTACTTAAGGCCGATCAGCAAGCTGTGCTTCATATTGGAAGGGGACGCGTAAGCAGAACGAGTTATTTGACACCCACTGGATCAATGTGAAATCGTTTTTTGGAAACCATTTGTTTTGTGAATATCGAGCTTGTGAAATTTGAAATAGAAAGAGAAACCGCCACAAGTTTTTTGTGAAATTAGAAATGGAGATCATTTACCTTTTCGCAATGGAGGAGCTTAATTGTTCGCCAAATCACCTTCACACCTTTGAAAATGATATTTGTTGATATTGGAGCCTACAAGTGAAATTTGATCTTTTTTGTGAATCGCCTGTATCACCGCTCAGCTAAAATTGGATCAATGTGAAATCGTTTTTGGAAACCATTTGCTTTGTTGATATTGGAGCCTATTTTAATTTTTGATCTTTTGTGAATCGCTTGTATCACCGTTCAGCTGAAATTGGATCAATGCAATTTGCCATTAATGAAAACAAATATGTTTTGATTTGCAAAACATAATTTGTGAAAAGGAAGCATTTCTACAACGTTTAAAGTTTATAAAATTGGTTTTAATACCACAAGGAATTACATTTGAAAAGCCAGTTGTGCCTGGATTTGGATATCATCACGTTTGTTTTGAAATTTGATGACCATCAAGAGCTCACTTTGATTCTTTCGCGAAGAGAGGAGCACGTTTATCGCGATAGGCTCAAGTTTACATGGAGAGACTGAAAGTATGTACTGTAATCCTGTGCATATGGAGCCATAACATTGAGGTCTGATAATATTAGCGAGCCAAGTGGACATGGACATAATTGTGCTACGCTTGTTTGAACAGAACTATGAAAAACTCTAACAGAAGACTGAAAGAAACTCTGTTTAAGATGCATGAAAGTTATAATTGTTTTTTTTGGAAACAAATTTGTCTAAGTTTGGTGTACTGTACCAATCCCATCATTTGTTTTGATGTAAAGTTAAAGAGCAAAAGGAAATTCATACAAGTTATTTATATCATGCTACATTTCACAATAATTGATTAATGCTTGTAAGATTGATTTCTTGTTGTTGCTTGGAAACAGGTCTACTCGTTTTTCAAAATTTATGACTGACGTATTTTGGAATGAAGACATTTCTGAATTGCATTTTTGAGTATTTTGGGGGGCAAAATTTGGATAAAATGGCAGTCACTAAAGAAATTTTGGTATTCATGTATAACCACTAAAATATAGAGTATCAAACAGCTAATTGTCACACATACCAGTACAGTATTTCATTTCGCTTTGGTTTTTCAGTGTAATTTACATACACTGTACATGTATCTTTAATCAAGGAATTTCCAAGCAAGTTGACAGACATTTTTGAGGACTAAATGGAACATCTTTTTTTGTAATGATAATTTGTTCCTTTTAATACAACTTGTGCATGATTCTGATAAGTTGTAATATCTTTGAAATCAACAGACATATTTTGGAAACCATGACAATAAGTTTAGAAGGTTAGCAATGTTCTGTAAATCATGATTTGGGTTTCTTGATGTGTTGCCAACATGAGGATTGTAAGGGTTGTTTTTCTTTTTAAGATTCTGGGTATTAAATGCCATATGCTCACAGTAAAGGCAAATGCAGTGTGTATCTGAGTTTTGAATCAAAAGTTATATATTCAGACCACAAGACATTGCCAGTTGTCTTGAAAGTGTTAAGAGGTGTTGTTTTTAACGACTTTCATGTTGTTCAATGCAAAGTGCATGAATTTAATTAAGTTGAAATTACAAACATCAAGGTGTTTCATTATGCAAACGATAAAGACAATAATATTGCCATTGTGTTATGGTATTTTGCTATAAACATGAGTCAAAAATTATTATGTGCATTATTGTTTTTTGAAACAATTTTTTTTTTATTGATTGTTTTTTATACATGCCATTTATTCTTGGTAGATACGTTATAATGTTAGATGTAACATGACACAGAGATAGTTAAGAAAATATTCTTGGTAGTTTTGATTATTTAGTACATGTATTGTTTCATTGAGCCTTGTATACATGTATGTCAGGTATGCCAAATAAAAAATAGCATCCGTGTTGTTACGAAGCGAGTATTGGCTTTCGGTTCATAGAAAAATTGCAGCTATGTTGTAAGTTGTTATTCGCTCTATTATGAGTGGTATAGATAGATTGTGAAGTTCCAATCATTTGGCAGGATGAACAATACGTGTATACCAAGGACAGTTGACACTTGACAGTTTTATCAGTTTAAAAGCGTTCTGTATTTGTTGTTGCGAAAAACCTATTTTAGGAAATCAGTATCACCGTCACAGTTTGTGACTTGCTTTATTGATTATCACTGTGCATTACATGAGTAATTAGGTTTTAGTTATACGCCGATAGGCTACAGTAATTTGTTGGTAGATTGATGAGTGAGCTAGAGATTTAGGATCATTTTATTGGCATTTGTGTTTGAGTACATTGGAAGCTCAGTGTAACAAGGTCTTTGGGGCCCTTAATTCCCAAGTTTTGACAGGAATGTTGTTTTTATTGGACTTCGTTCAACCGAGTTTCCGTTGTATGTTGATGTTTATTGATTAAGTGTTATAGAATGGTAATTTCCAAGTGATTTATATTGAAAATTAAGGGGCCGGAAATGTAACTTCCAAACAAACCAGAACTTGTGAAGAGCGCCACCTTGTGGCGAAGTTTAGACACTGTATATAAGATAGGGCTGACGATATGAACCCGGGAAACCAAATGGTCTTTCAACCTTCTTTTTCTGTCAAGAAAGTGCTCTATTTACTTGAATACTGGACATGAATCATGGGACAGGTCACTAGAGAACGCATTTGTTTGCATGGAGAATGTTTCGATGAGAAGAAAGCAGAATTAAAGTTTGTTTTAGACAGATTATAACCAGTTTTTCATCGATTGACCTGTCTTAGTTGAACTGTGTAGCTGTATTGAGTAAGTGCAATGCACCGTGACAATTTGCTAGTATTTACACCTGAGATACACGTGAGAACTTATTACGAGGTGAATGACCTTTGCGACATGTGAGTGTTGTGGGAGCAAAGTAAAGAGGACAGAGCTGAGAAGCGTATGGAGCAAGTCAGATCACGGGTTCAAATATTAAGGCGCCAGTCAGACGAATGAGAGAACAAGAGAGATTTTACAAGATGGCAATATCTAAATTATGGCACCTACAGTTGGTCTGACACATAATTACCCTGATGTTGGGCAATAATTGTATCCATTATTTTTTTGGTTTTACAGTCTTCAAGTCATCATCACACAAGTGGCACAACATTCTCTGGAAATATTTCATTTGTATCGGGTGAAATGAAATGTATATTGATTGGATGATAAGGATATGATTCAGTCGATAATATCCAAGCTTCATCATTCATGTCCTAGATGGTTTCATTTCTCACTTACTCTCATTTGCTTTTAACATATTATCGATTACAATGAAATTGTTGACAGAAGTTTTATTACAGAAATGATAAGCTTCTGGACCTTTTAAAAGCCTGGCTGATATAATTATACCGGTGTGGAAGAGTGTAGGTGTTATGATCTTGGGGATACAACATTGCAGCAAATTATTTGTATACAAACTTCTGCTGTATTAATGTGTGTATTATGTACTTTTTCATGAATATGTTGAGAGTGATAAAAATCAAGAATGATTTTTAAATGAAAATAGAATAAAACAGAAGTTTCACTTGACTTGTCAAAATGACTCTTTTTCAATTCAACATTAAAATACTTTTAGACAGAGATGGGACAACAAGGCTAGCATAAGACAACAAGTAGGATTGAGTTTGGGTGATATAGGAATAAATAAATAACGGAGAAAGAGAGAGAGAGAGAGAGAGAGAGAGAGAGGTAGTGAGAGACAGTAAGAAGGTGAATAGGGTTGAGAAGAAGAGATGTGAAGAAAAACTAGACTTGGAATACAGTGTACAAGACAGAATTCTTGCGACACAAAATACCAGGAGAAAGCGCAAAGTACTAGGAAACGTACTACAATTGAATCCATTACAAAAAGGGGGCACACAATAACTGTGCCCCCACCCCCTTCACAGAATCCTGCATCTACCCCATGACAGGGTCATCGCTAGACCATTATCAAATTAGGTTTCGGACTAAATTTGCAGACAAGCTAGCTGAAAATACATGTGTTCCGAAATGCATGACAAGAACAATAATTTATACAAGATGGGATGAATGAGAGAGGGGGTGGGGGGGGGGGGGCGGTAGGGGGAGCTTGCAGATGTTTGTTGGTGTTGATGTTTTATCATTTTTTGTAAGCCTAAACAAACTGACAGTGCTGAAAGTTTGATGTGAAACATGGAATAAACCTGAATGAAATGAATTCTTAGTAATATGTCAAAATATAAATGGAGATTTGATTTGATATTGCCATCTAAAAGGTATCTTTTTCTTAATCAAAGTTTATGTTTTATATAAAAGAAAGAAAAGCAAAACATTGATACCAATCCGAGCACCTACAGTCTAAATTATTCCCTATATTCTATTTACTAAGAGATGAACAAGAAAACAAAAATACACTCAATTATATCTGATTAGATTGAAGTATAATTCCGCCGCTATTTTAAACTTATGTTTTTTTGTGAATAGAATTTAATGCACCACGATAAGAGCGTCATAAACCAAGGAGTTATAACTCCTTGGATAACTTTAAGTGTAATTTGCTACTGCATTGAGCTGGATATTATCAAAGAGGTATATCAGTACATAAAAGTAGGAAAAAATATAGTGGAGAATACATACATGTAGGCATATCGACATATTTGTACTTTTATAATACCCTTGATAATTCCTTTCCGCCCCGTTCTCGTTATCACATGGATGCTCATAGGATGCGTGCTTTGTTTTTCGAATCCCCTTTATTGGTAGCACCCATTAATAGGATCTTCCTATTCAACCGTGTTTGATGTTGCCGATCATGCTATTGATATGTGATAAAAGAAGCATGCATGCGCGGCGACTGGTGGTGATGCATTGCATTCGTGGACCAACCAACAATTAGAGGTAACGAATTCTGAGTATTCATTAAAAACAGCTCGGGGAGGCCGGGATTCCGAAAGAGAAGGGTATGTATGATACTTTTCTATATTCCACATTTTAAAGGGCTCTTCTATTGTACGCTAATTCTGGAGGATGATTGGGGTATATTATTTTACAACTGGCGCCGCGACGAACTACTATCCCTACGGGCTATATACCAAAACCCGGTAGGATCTGGAGCCGCCATTTAGTGGTACGGATGTGCACAGCGCCTGGCCTGCCGCACAGGTGTCAAAGCTCAGGACCGCCTGGCCTGGCGATCACTATGCGCTGAGTTGGGCGGCTCCTACATGCCAAGATATATCTCCGTGTAAATAAAATGTGTGTTTAGAGGATATATATATATATATATATATATATTGACCTCTTTCTTAACCAGAGGATTCCGACATATCACGTGTTTGGATCCAGAAGAGCATTAATAATTTATGTAATTGTATGCAGAGTTCATAATAAGTCACTAATTCATAATCATATGCCCTAGCTATATAGTTCTGGCTCCAAATTAAAATTTGATAGCTGTACAAAGTAAGGCCTTTACAGCCCTACAATATTTTTCAGTAGATTTGGCAAAAAAAGAAGAGTGTAAAGAAATATTTTGAGGGTAATGAAAATGAAATTCAACTATGATTTTTATTAAAAGTATTTTTTGTATGATCCATATATTATTAATCCATTATCACTAGTGCACTACCACTGTATTCTGTTTTCTTATAAAAATAAAATCCTTTTTTAAAATTAATGTTCCACTTATATCATAATCCACCAGTCAGAGCTGTCTAGAGGCCAGAGCAAGCTCGTAATATAAACAGAAACTTATACTTATATTACGGTATGTAAAATATGCACATTACAAGCATATATCTACAAAAACCGTACCGTTGATTTCCACATATTCATTTTTTTTCCTTCCTTCTACCCCTTCCTTTTCTCCCTCAATCTAATACAGGTGTTAAAGTGAGAGTTGTTCTAGTATGGTTTGATAGGGTATGTTTGTTCTGCAGTGAAGAGACTTTGAATGTTTGAACAGACAAGATCGAGACTGGCATTGAATGATTGAAGTACCCGTCTCCTAGGCTATACATGCTTCAAGAGACCACTACACCAAGTACCCCTCCAAGAACACTCTTTGCCAGCATCATAGACTAATTTAATTGCACTAATGAAAACTTCCAGATGTTTGCTCTATCCATGTGAAAACTGCTTGATCATGCTATGAAACAGAACAAGGACACCTTTTGTCAAAATGGCGAAACAATACGATGTTCTGATAAGACTTCTCATGCTCGGAGACTCTGGTGTTGGCAAAACATCCATGTTGTGTAAATTTACAGAAGAAGGCTTCAACAGTACACACATTCCAACGATAGGTAAGTTTTTTTTCTTTTTCTATTGTCACCTTTGATCTACCTTTCTCTCGGTACATGCATGTAGATCAGTTATTATCTGCTGAGAGCCAGAGTGGCATTAAATCATATCTTATGATTATAACACAGTGAAGAGCTAGTGGAGGCCTTTGTGTTGCTCAACAAACATAATCATATTGTATTACAGCAAGATTCAACATACCTTACACAGGCACCAAAAAAGGGTTTATTTGAGAGATTTGGTCACCCAACATAACAACCCAAAGATGTGTTCTTCATATGTTTGGTGAAAGTAATTTTGTGTAAAACAGATATTAATGTTGAATTTATCACCTCGTATAATGATATGAAACATGTGTCACAAGAGAGCAAATGGAGGTTGGGTACAGATATATAAGCCCTGTTGTTCTAAATCTTAGTCTGGCCATTAAATAGTTTCACTTTCCTTGGCCTATCAATTGTAATTACTGAGAGGTTTCACTTATTCATAGATTTGTATGACTACAGTATACTGTCTGGAATGCCATCAGATGCAGATGCTTTTAACCTCTGGTTCAGTATTTTGATAATTGATCTGTACGGCAAATGTAAACGTATGTGAGTTATAATTTAGGAAGATTGATAGTATTAGTTGTAGGAAAGCTCGTTGTTGAGAGAGGACATTGCAGCTGTTTCCATTGTTTACATTTGAATTACATTTATATCGTGTTAATGAGTTATGATTTTATAATAGAGATGTAAACAAAAAATACAGAATGTTACTGGGCTATTCATTTCACTTAGATGCCATATAGCCATCACCAGTTTTTGTATGTATATAAGTTGTTTTTTTAATGTTTTACTTTAAACATATCGTGTTTTGTTAATTGGTTTAGTGTGCCTGGATACACAACTGATAATATTTCTACAGATCTTCTGGATAGGCTGCATACTGTGCAACTGTATAGCCCTTTGAAAATTAACAGAAGAACATTAATACATCAATGATTCAATTCACTTGTGTGGCCCTTAATATCTAATGACTAGATTTGTTACACAATACGCATCATATTTGCACATCATTATTCAAATTCCTCAGTTGTTAAGAGGTCCTTGCAAGACTAATTTTGTGTACAATTTGTTCAAAAATACCTCTGTTCAAAGTCTACCCGGTACATACTACATAGAGATGTTGTTCTGTTTTCTTCAATTCTTGACTTTATTGAGAAAATGTGCATTTGCAATTATAGGTGGCTCACCCATCAATGCATAATTAAAACAAGAGACTTGCAAAAAATAGTTTTCCACATAGGATAGTTTGAATAATCCAGGGTGTGTTGTTTTTCTGTTTAAAGTGGTGATTACCTGCATCCGGAATGATATTACAGATGGGGAAAAGGAAACACGTTTCCGAGGTAGATCGCTTCCAATCAGGATATTCTTTCTGACTATAGTGCATAGACATGTGATATCTAGTAAAAATTAAAGAAAATTGTTTCCTCAAATAGTTTGCCAGGGTTAACATGAAAATTTGTTATTCTATCACCTGATGTGAAACTGAAGTAATGAAACTTTATCTGCTGTTTTAATATTATCAAAATTCTTCTTCTTATTATTATTATTATTGTCATTATTATTGTTGTTGTTTTTATCATCATCATCTTCATCATCATCATGACATGACAAAATCAGTTTTATATTTATTGCGCTTGCAATGATACGTGGATCATCACATATTTTAAACTGTTTGGATCCTCACAACCTATTGCATTATTTCTTCTGATAAATCTTGGTAGAGAATGAAAAGCAAGTATCACTGTCTATCTAAAAGGAATCACTCATGCAGTATGTATTGTGGTTGGTTAATCAAATCCTTTAAGAAATGTATTAAAGACCAACATGCTGGACTTAATTCTGGAAAGAGGTTTTACAATGCAATTGAAATGTGGAGAGGAGTCAATGATAAGTAAACAATAGATGGAATGTGCGAAGTAGTAGTATATTTATTTAGCTCTTGATCACTTATTAGTGTTACCGTAGTAGCATACTATGTTTGCTAGATTTGAGGGTTATTTTTAACAATTTGAATCCTACTTGTATGCTGTGAAGGTTGTAATTTGTTTCTTTATTATGGTTCTAAGAAAAGCAAGATTGGTTTAAAAAATGATCCAGATGTTATTTCAAATGTTTCAAAGTGATATTTATTTCTATGGCAAATCTCATTTCAATGGCAAAATGTTCTTCAGAAGTTAAGTTGAATTGCCTGTCATGATGTCATTCTGTATGAAGGTTGGTTCTCCCATCCATAACATAACCATATTCAAAATTTAACTGTTTATGTTCAGATCAGGATCAAATTCTTTATTGGAAAGTTAACGTTCTCCATTCTCAATCCAAAAGTATCCTTTTCTAGCTAATTTAGTGGTTTATGCATGGTAGAAATATATTATGCATTGCACATTGCACAATAATATATTATACACAATCGAAGTAGTTTTTGACCATTTGGAATAGACTAGTTTACTAACATTCAAATGTTAAAACAAAGGTTATTGTTGACACCTTAAAAGCTTGCCCAACATAGTAACAAGTAATATATATGCAGACTGGATGCTGGTTATTGTGGTTTATTCATAACTCCTCACTAGGTCCCCAGGAATGAAACATCCATATATTTGAATATGTTAATGAATCGGTGTATTGATTAAACCGTACATGTATACTGCAGATCAAAACTGTCCGTGGAGAATTATAATTTGATATGTTTTGACCTTTATTCTCTTCATATGCTTTCTATCTTCTGCATTGCAGGTATCGACTTTAAAATGAAAACGCTCATGGTGGATGATAAAAAGATCCGCATTCAAATTTGGTGAGTAAGGTATATATTTGATGAGTAATGGCAGACAAAATATTTGCATGATCCCAGAATTCCATACATGCCTTGAGCATTGTCGAGGTCAGGGTCTGTGATTGTTCTCATTTATTGTTCTGCATGGGTTCACAACCCAAGCTCAATAATGCATAGTATGAAATTGACTGACTAGGAGCATGTACACACTGCAAAGCTGTAAATTGTATTCTCCTGAACTATTATGCATTAACTGTTGATTCAACCAGTATGAATATCGTATGATCATGTTTTTTTAGCCTTGGGGTATGAATGAATTGCATGTATTTGTATATTGGCTTAAAAATTTGATCAGGGTTAGCTCAATTCCATTTTTATTCCCTTTTCTTCCTTTTTTTTCTTCCTTTTTTTCTTCGATTGGGGGGGGGGGGGGTTCATAATTGTTTTTCATCTGCTATTAGAAATGAATATGAACATACATACATTGGTTAAAGAACTGCAATATTAATTATGGAAAATTGAAAAAAAAAAAAAAATTAGATTAATGAGAGACACCCTCTTCTGCTATTTCCTTCTCCTCTTTTTATTGTAAAAGATGTTATTTAAAAACATACACACATTTGTTGTAGTTAAATGTGTAAGGTTTGAGATTGAGATTTCAACAGTCATGATTAGTGCAAATACATACACAACCACAAAAACCAATATTTTGACTCTTTCTTTTCCTTAATTTCCGCACATAATGATTATTTGAGTTAGTTTGATTTACGTATGTACTTTTCATTGAAAACATCCTATTGTAATGAGAATAAATATTGAAATAGTGGCTTAACAATGAAATGACATCCTGGCAACAATACATTGACATTGAAATAATGTGCCAATCAGGCATGCAGCAATTTGTTTAAAGGTACAGTAGCCTACATGTTATGTACTGCCCAATTTAATTTAAATTTATAAATTTATTAATCCACAGGTAATTAATCATTATCACTATCTAAAACGTGTGTAACAAACTAACAATTACCACTTCCAGCATGTACATGTATGTTGTTTCAGGCTGCCTGCAATTATGTGCGTTCTATTTTTAACATGATACAGGGTTATTGCCTGAATTATAGGGACAGTGTTATGAAGAGTGTGAGATGTTTCCGGAGTATGATCGGCTCATGTGCTGTTTACGTACTCTGTATTACACAATCATCCACAATGTAATCAGACATGTGGTCAGACAGAGAAAATTTCAAAGCTTATAGCCACAAAATATGGTACACAATCACAGTGTTGACTATATCGTCGCTGTTTTCACGAAGTGACGGTAGTGAAAAAAAAATGCATTCACTTTGCGTGACGATTTTCCTCACTACCGTCACTTCGTGAAAACAAGGACGATATATGTCCACACTGTGAGTAACAGACTGTGCCCACAATGTGAGATTGTGTACTGTAACACAATATGACACACAGATAGCCACAGTTTTCTAATTACCGGTAGTACTCAACGAAGTGATAATATTGTACCAAGCAAAGCCAAAGCGAGCACCAGAATAGACATGTACCAAGAGTAAAATCTCCCCAAATGCAGATAATATAATTATGTCGCCCAAAACATGCAAAATTTATTTGTTAGTTTGGTCCTCTCACCCCATCTTGCCTACATCCCCTCCCCCTGCCCACACACCCTTGGACAATGCAAAGTCACTTAATTATTAATTTTCATCAAAAGAGTAAACAAATTTCTAACAAGAATACTATATGACTTTAAAAATTAATCAGTGTGTACACAATATTATGTTAGAATGAGTCATATTGTTTACTATGTGAATAATCACAGTGTGTATACAATATTATGTTGGAATGAGTCATATATTGTTTACTCTGTGAATAAACTGTTTGGTGGACACCATTTAATTTTTGCCTGGTATGTTTGCACCATGTTTGCATATCATCTATTTGGAGACAGAATCATATTATTACCCAGATTTAACATCCATCTATAGTTCAAAACGAAAAATTTAATTATTTAAATCAATCATTTTGTCTGTTGGGAGCCAAAACTCACAATAGCATTATAAATAATAATAAAAATAATTTGCAGTATTATTACTTTGGTGCTCAGTAGACAAATTGATTTTGTAATTTGTAAGTATATTAATGATGCTTCTTCTTGCTTGATACTATGTACAGGGACACTGCTGGGCAGGAGAGATATGACACAATAACGAAGCAGTATTTCAGGAGAGCACAGGTAGTGATATTATCTACAATGAAAATTGATCCAAAATGAATGAAATATATAATGGATAACAGCAACCCCAGCCCTTTACAGACACCATGCCATATCGTCCCTATTTTCACGAAGTGACGGTAGTGAGGAAAATCGTAACGCAAAGTGAATGCAATTTTTTTTCACTACCGTCACTTCGTGAAAACAGCGACAATATATGAACATTTTAAGCACATGTTTGATAGATTAAAGCAGCCTTACATTTATTTGTCAGGCACCCACAAAATATTTAAGTGAGTCCAGAAGGTTACAAGTTTATGTCTCTAGAATTGATTAAATCATGATGATGCTGATATTATGAAACTGAAGAACATATGAGAACATAGAATTGTGAAATCACCGATACATCATTTTAGAAATGTATTACATTCAAGAAATTATATTCTTAATGTAAAATTGGTAAGGATGGTTTTAAAAAATTTGCTTTGGAACATTTTTTTATTAAAAACTAATGTGTTAATATCCTGTTTATGTTAATTTTTCTAATTCATTGTCATTCTGCTAATTTTCATGAAATTCAGATACATTACTTCCTTGTATTTGTTCTTCATAGGGTATCATGTTAGTCTACGACATCACAAGTGAAATATCATTCAGGCATATTAGCAAATGGCTGGATATGATAGATGAGGTAAGAATGAACTATGGCTCAACAGTAGTAGCAGGTGCCCAAGACACATGGGCACCTAAAATCTAAGTGAAGGCCCCACAGAAATAAAAATGTTATCTGTAAATCTGTTGTATCTGTTAAAGCATATAAATGTTAAATAATGAAATGAAGGTGGAAAATCAGTTTATCACAGACATCAGAGTGCCACCATGTATGTGACATTTATTCCCATTACTGTTTACCGGTAGACAGATTTGTTGAATAAGATAAATTTTACCTTTAAAAAACAGTGATTTAACTCTCGTGAAGGAAATATTACATGTGTTACCATACCCTTGTACATGAATTTGTCTCTACAATTCTCATCAGCATGCAATTCAATACCTTTCATACGCATTCTGCTGGTATATGAATGCGAAAAATATATTCTGGTATAAAATTACCTTGGAAATATCAGTCATGTAAACTATTCTACAGTGACCTACTTATTTAGTAAGATAAAGTGGCTTTGAATAGTACAACATTGAGGCGTTGTTATTAATGAGCAATGCAAATATGATTTTAATTTCAAACTTAAATGTTATTCATGTATTGCCTAGGATCTAATGATGAGAATGAATTTAATGATTTTCTCCTATTTGTTCTTGTACAGGGTGCTGGTAGTGTTGCAAGAATCCTAGTGGCTAATAAATCGGATGCATCGGCACTCCGGATCATATCTAAGGAAGAGGGTGAGACGGTAAGAGAAAGAAGGAAAACTCTAACATTTAAGCCGAATTCACAAAGGAGGTTTGTCGGCCAAACCTCCTTTTGTTTCGCCAAACCTCCTTTTGTTCTTTACAAAACTAGGTTTGTAAAAAATGTGTAAAAACGCGTCATATGACGTACGAAAACCAAGGTTTGTCGACAAACCTCCTTTGTGAATTCGGGCCTTAAAGTCTTTAGCAAAAATATTTAGATATAGATAAAAGAATACTGAACTTTGGTGCTAGAATTTTTTATTAAATTAGAGATACATGTATATATGATCAAAAGCACAGAGAATTACAAAACTAGTCTATTTGCAGATGATATGGTAAACTAGAAAATATTGAAGACCTGCTTTTTTTTTCTTTTCTTTTCGTTTCTCAACTAGTTATCTATGCAAATGCCTGATGATGTATTTGATGATGAATTATAATACCCTGAGGGCATTGTTGATATCATTTGATCTAAGATTATTGAACTCTTTTAATAACCACCATTTGTATTTGTTTCTTGTGTAGTTTGCGAGGGAGAAGAACCTAGCGTTTGTAGAGGGCAGTGCTTTCAGTGGAGACAATCTCGATGAGGTATGCTCAATTGTTTTTCGTATTTGAACAAAAGATATTCAATCTTGTTCCCATGTTCAGCTCTTTCATTTTTCATATCAAACTCAGTTAATCAATCAATTCGTCATCAAATTCTGTGATGTTCTCATTTAGAAATGGAAATGCATCAACCTGTATTTTATTTGCCATTCTCCAACCAGGTGTAGGAAGCGGTAGGATTTACACCTAAAAATGCACTGTGAGCAGCTAAGACTGCCAGAGCTATATAAGGCTAGGGTAGTAATTCTATATACTTTGACAGGGGATAGAGGCATATGCAATTAATACAAAACAAGTAGAATATTAGTATTAGTATCATAATTATTATTGTCATAGCATATTTCATAGGTTTTATTTATACATATTTTCCATATCTTAGGCTTTACAGGTGTGAGTAGAAATTCCTTCCGCAGAAACTTTGTGGGAATCAAACATTAAAGAAAGAAAATCAAATAGTTAATTAAAAATATGTACATTTTATTTTGACACCTGTTGCAAACAGGACCTCACTGAAGAATACTTTTATTGGTGAAATATAACCCCTCCTTTATAGTGAATAAAAAAAGTGAATAAATGTATGTACGTATTATTATTATTTTTTGTTATCTTCCAGGCATTTGAAGGTCTTGTGAAGATTGTCATGGACAGGAATAAGAAGGACATAGATGAACAACTACAGAGCATCAAGCTATATGGTTCCAGAGAGAACAGTACTATAGATGCTGAGGTCAAACCAGGTGGCTGCTGCAGTTGATGTCTGTATAGTGTCTATCGACGCCTCGTTCACCCACAACGTCGTAAACTGCCTTAAAGGTACTATGTCCCATTTGCAGGCCAAAAAAATGAAAAGGTTAAATTCCAACGGCATTTGAAAGACAATACTAAATTAGAACTTCCCTAAAAAAAAGAGGGGCTTGAAAATGTCTTCAAGTGGGAAAATAACGACTATTAGTTGTCGAATCGACTTAGGAGCTATAGAGCTAGTAAGTAATAGTCTGATTTTTCAGACCATTGTACCGAATGGTCGTACGTTTTATGCTGCGCAAAGATTCAATCAGTTTAATTTTGGCCATTACAAGAAGTGGGTTATTGATGTAGACAAATGCTCATGTACCCTTTACAGCTCATTTTATGCATGTTATTACTAAAGATGATAAAAAGCCAGTCAGTCACTCAATAGTGTCTGACAGTGAAGTCTAGCAAGTAAACGGGTTTCCTTGCATAATTTGAATATTAGAACACTGCTAACGTTTAAATTTCACAGACATTATGACATATTCATAATTCCTGCAAAGTTTTACAGAATTTGATGTTGGCTACAAAAGGGACATAGTATCTTTAAAGGGATCGTTTAACAATGTTAAATCTGAGATATGCACGGCCCTACGTGTTATCAGTGTCTGTGATATGGTGTTATATTGAAGCCCTACAAAAAAATGCACTTCAAAATGATCAAGAAGAGCCTCAAAAAAGTAAAAACCTTTGAGTTACCGGTTTTTATCATACTCGTTTTCCCAAATAGACTGTAGTGTCATGAAAACCGTTTGGCAAACGCAAAATTTGATTTCGATGTTCAATCATAAATATCTTGATAATCAGGCGATCGGCTTGTAATTTGCGTTAAGCCATGGGGTTCCTGACTGACCTAAAGGTTTATAATTATCATTGCAGCATGGCTAAATCAAGGATTTTTTTTAAAGGATCTAAGACAATCTTAAGGGTTCCCTGTAAATAAAATAAAACGTCTCAAAGAAAATAAAATGCTGTAGCAAAATAAAATAACATAAGCAAGTGTGCTCCGGATTTCTGTTTCTTACAACACACAGATGAGGAAAGAGGCCTTGTGGTGTCTTATGCTCTACCATTTTGAACACCATTTGCTACTGGTATTCATTTACCGATACCATTTTACTGATACATGGGAAAAGACTTATTTTGCGCTAGCGCTTTTTTCTAAAAGGCTGTTTAACATGTTCTGCCTGAACGAGGCTGTATTGTGTAATTTTGAATTTGAATTGAAAGTGAATAAGAGTATTGTTTCATCTTATTAGAAGTTAATTCCTTTGTATTTCTTTTGTCATGTTCCACTGTGTTATGGATATAAACTTGAGTTCAAGAGAATCATAATTTTAAGTGAAATTTTATTCAGCAGCTTTTATTGTCTGTACATGAAAGATTCCAAAGATCATTTTTGGGTTGTGTGGTATTTGAGAAATCAATGTAAATTTAATGACATTCTTATATGTTACAACACTAAATCTTCTTTCATTTTTGTATTAGGTATCAGAAGGCCCTACATAACAATGTGCAGGTGATACTGTGAATAAGAAATGCACCAAATTAGCCTCTTTTTTTTTTTTTAGATGCTTTCTTTCCAGTTTAATTTTCAACTGTATGCTTAAAACTAGTCGTTTTGAATGGCCTTAAAAAAGCCTACCGGTGTTAAAAAAAAATGATAATAATAATTTTGATAATGGCAAGAATTTGGTATCCATGGATACTGTACATAACAAAAAAGAGTATGGTAATTGATCAGAACTATAGGAGCCTTGACATTACCTCACTATATACGAGTTACATATCATACTATTGTAAAGTATTTTTATCTTCATGTTTTGCCAGGATAGATTTATTCTTTGGACATAAGTGTATGTTTTTTCCTTAAATGGAGGCTGAGGTGAAGGATATAGGATATGCTGTTAGGTTTACATAAATTACACATTGCTAAAAATGATGTGCCTTTTAAAAAATGTAGAATTGCACATTCACCTTTTTAATTATGTTTCACACTTTGGTATTGAACACTATGTGCACGGTTAGCACATAGTCACAAAAAGAATACAACAATCTGACATTATTTGCTCTATTTTGACCCAAACCTCTATTTTTTCATGAGCAATTAATTTTTTTTCAGTGCCAGCTGTAAAAAAGAAATGTTAATACAATTAAGAAGATCAAGGTGGGACTTGATTCCATTCCTGCATTTTTCATAAAAATTTAAAAAAGAGGAATAGGTTTTAATATCAGTCGTCATAATAAAACACGTTTATCCAGTATGTTCTTTTGGCAATTTTGCACCTCTATGAATCCTGTAAAACTAAATACTATCTGTATGTAAAAGTATGACTTTATAACCAGTTGGAAAGTTTTTTCGGGTGACCTCGCTAGTCATAAGGACAGCTTATGAATAATGACCTTTTCTCAAATTATGAATAGCGGGTCTTTATGAAGGGCGAGAGGACCCCAGTGTTATTTACCAGTAGAATAGTAATTCATTCCTTTCTCTAATTTTCCTAAATTTACCATTTTGGGGGTTATTTTATGACATTAACATTTATATTGTAAGATTAATTATATTTGCCTTTTCATTTGAAATTCATATGCATTCCAACACCAGTGGGTATGTTTGTGTGTAACAATGACATTTAAAACAATAGAATGAATAGCAGCACTATTATGTCTATATCAATGTAATATCGATGAAGTGTATTTTTACAATTTGGCAGAAATATCTACTTTAACCAAAAAATGTAGATATAATATTCTGTTCTGTTAGTCAATCTGGTTACTTGTAATGTATTTAAAACTTAAAATATTAGCTTTAGTGAAAATAATTACTAATACTTTTTGTATTCCCCTTTTGTCATTCCATTTATGGCTTTTCCATCTTTTTCCCGCAAGGGTCTGTATTTTAGATATAATTATGCTGCTGTCTTTCACCTTGAATATCAAAAAGTTAGGATATGGGTAGGTGTCTTCTTTGACAAGGACGAGAAATATATTTAACTTTGTCCTATCATTTCTAAAGATTTTATTCGTTAAAATTGCCATTTTATGTCTAGTCATATTAGTTAACTGCATATGTAGTTTGAGAAATAGAAATATATCCATATTTAAAGGGATTATTCAGTTCTAAATGGCAGGTTTGTGTGTGATCTACCAACAAAAGAGTATTAACTCTGTGAACAGGAAAGGAAATTTAACTTCAAATCAAAATAGATTTGTTGGAGAGAAGGAGCACTTTAAAACTATTATGTATCTTGCAGTGTTTGGCAAGTGCTTCATAGATTGCAGCATCCATCTGAACTTTGGTTTAGATAAATTTGTGCTGCTTATTATTTGTGTAAAATTGGGGACACGTACAGCTTATTGTCAGTTCTGCATATTGAGCAAATCTGACAAATTTATTATCTACCAGAGTACCAGAGTTTGGTTTGTTCATGAATTGTGCATCACACATTTAGATGCTGGGTATTGTGCAATGATGTTAAATGAATTTTTACATTACAATGAATATATTTGTATATTGAAAGAAAAAAAGAAGAATATGTTTCCATAATCATCTATTTTTGGCATGCAAAAATACCTCTAGGGCTCTAGGTGATCTGTCACAGGCCAACATTGAAGAACATCATTTATACAATGGGAGATCATACAACAATCTTATACAAAACTATACAGAACAAGACAATTAAATAATATGTGATCATTTTTTTTTTTTTTTTTTTTTTGGGGGGGGGGGGGTTGGGTATTACTGTTAAATACTTTTGAATGTAGCACAAAATCCTGTGTGCTCAGTACCGGTACTTAAATTTGCACAACTTTTAACTAATATATAAAATCTTATTTGCACTTGTGACTCATTATTAGCATTTTTTTCTCCATTGTGTATAAACATTGATGTTGTGGTTAGATATTTTGCATCATCAATAAACACATATCATATTGTCTGTGAGGGAAGTTGTGTGAATAATTTAATTGAATACACAAATGATCTAATGAAGTAAAAATTTAGTAATAAGAATTTAATCTCTATTTGTGAGTTGTAAAGTACCAAATCAATATGGAAAATGAGGTTTCCAAAAACGCCAAATAAATTGTCTTCCTATCAGAAATGAATGGTATATTAAAGATATATTTAAAAACACTTTAAATATTTGTGTCTTGCATTTCATTTTGTGCCTTTAATTTTTCAAAATTAACTGGGTATATTATTCTATAATATTTATTTCATATTTAATTTCAATTTACTTAAAGAATGCTCCACTTTTGTAACACGTTGGAGTGTGCAAGAGCAAGAGCAGTCGAGTGAAAGCTTGAAAGAAACTGGAGTGATAAAACAGAGATGAATATCTGGGAGTTGAGATCAAGAAATATGTTCTTCTCTGGTGTATTGTCAGTTAACATTTCCTTGGGGAGGGGGTGCAGCCCCAACTAGTATACTAGTGTTCATTTCATGTTTTTAACAAGGGCCTCGAGTCAGTGGTAGAGTACAACAGATATCAAAATTGTTTTCACGGTTTTTAATCAGAAAATCAACTACCCAATACTCAACCCTTCATTATTCTTTGCAATATTATTATTTACGCTCAGATCAACACTGAAAGAAGTTTAAATATCTAGTCTTCTTCTAGATCACCTGTACCAAAATCTACAAAATTTCTCTCAACATGTATCCATTCAGTCATAACACACATTCGTTCACTAATCACACTTTCCTTTTTTGTCAAATCAAACAATCATACCACCTACATCCATGAACTGATACCAAGCCAAAAATACTATCACATTATTATCATTCACAGTACATGCTTAAAACTATGAGCACTAGGTGACATTTAATACTGATTTTCAAGTAGTTCAGGGTAACACAAGTCAAAGAGACGATATGAAAAACATTTTTCACACATATGTACATATCATAAATAATGGAATATGAACAATATGCAACAGTAAATCTCCCATATACTGGTAAACATTCTATGGTATACATCATTGTTTATAACATGATTTCCACATAAAATATTCAAATTCAAACTTTCACAAACACCAATGACACCTCTAATAAAAACTCACACACAAGAGTAAATTGCTGTTGCACAAGAGCAGACTAGGTTTTATTATCTGATCAACACATCGACTATTTTACAATTTGTTTCATGCAACATTCTCTGACAGGGAATGACAGCTTAGGAGTTGGAGTTGGGTCCACGCCTCTTGCCGAAGGTCTGAACAACGTTGACGAATCGGCGGTTGTACTGCATGCGGCGCTTGGCACGTCCGACCTTCTTCTTCTTCTTCTCCTGGGGGTCAACCTGATAATTAGAGAAGAAAGGAAAAAAAAAAAATTTCATTGTTATTCTACAGAAGGTGATGCAGAACTCACGGCAAATATTAAAGTGTTCTAAAGAGTTATGTTTGGTCAACGGTTTCAAGTAATAATACACTCAAAATTATCACTCCATGACATATTCTTCCAAAGCATTTTGTGCAAAACAAGCAATGAGAGAAAAGCGGTCCATGGCAAATTTCCTTAATCTCCCTAGTCTCTCACTACTTTTCTTTCTTACTCATTTACATTCACCTTTTTATAAGACTTACAAGCCATGTTGTTGGGTTGCCCTCCACAAAGACTTATTTCAGTAGCCAGGCAGTCCTTATCATTTTGTTAGCCTGATGTTACCCCGTGAGCCTGGCAGCCACTGAGCAGCGCCGGATTGCCGTTGCTCTATACCTTATTGTTGAACGCCAAACAAGGTAGCAGCAACTCCCATCTTTTAACGTCTTTTGGTATGACGCAGCCGGGGATCGAACCCCCGACCTTCCGGTTGTGAGGCGGAGGCTCTACTGACTGAGCCAACACTCCATTGTGAATAGGAAGGAACAAAATGGATTGTGGTGCTTACCTTGGGGGTCTGACCTCGCACTTTACCAGCACGAGCGAGGGAGCCGTGAACTTTTCCTCCGAGCAGACGTCCGGAGAGCTCAAGGGTCATCAGGTCAACGAGTCCATTCTGGGAGAGGGTGATGTCCTCATCCAGGGGTGCGCCACAGCAGGACAGGACCTGCTCAGAGGCAGAGAAGCCAGACAGCTCCTGGATCTTAGCCTAAATGGGATTAAGATGAGAGGATTCATATTTCATGTAAAAATTGACATGTCAAATTTAGATTTATAATTATAATCTTTAAAACTATCTGAATATTTAGTGCGCACAAAAGGAAGACTTGGCTCATTTGAGCATTCTGGTTTAGTTTTAGCTTCATGAACGATTGATTACATAGAATTGGTGCTAAATGAGGCAACTGTACATGTAATGGCTCCTGGTCTTGACCTTGACAATTCAGAAGAAAACAAAATTATTGCAAACTTTTACTCTTTGCTATGATCTAAGTACAACTTAAAACAAGCTACATTATGGTCTTAAATAATTACTGTCTATACATTTCTTTCTGGTAAATGGTCATACATAAGAGGGGATGTCAGCAGAGTAAATAAACAACATTTGAAATAGTTAAAATTAATGGCTTCGGCTGTTCAAACCTGAATATCTCTTGCTAGTTCAGTTCACTAAGTTTTGGAAGCAAACAAAACCATGAGATAAATAACTAATCAAAGTGCAAAGAGTACTCCTACAAGGCCTTTACTGAACCAAACTTCATGACTGTTACCCTTTATAAAAAAAAAAAAAGTGAAGGAAAACAGCTCTCCTTACCTTCAGATCAGCAATAGATTCTTCACCAGTCACCTCAAGGGTGTGGGTCTCGTCAGCTCGGACAAACAATTGCATCTTGGTGCTGTAACGGTTAAAACAAATGAGAAAAATAATCTAGGTTAGTTCTCTTTAGAGTAAGGAATTGAGAGTAGGGAGTACAAATTGAATTTCATCTTCAGCACATGAAGCTGTGCTTTGAAAATGATAAATCAGAATTAATTTCTCCATCTCTTCATAGTAGCTTTCTATCTGGGAATCAATTGGAGGAAAATTTTGTTGGAAGATTTTGATTCTCTAGTCCAGTTTGTTAACTTTTAACTTTGTTCATAGGGTCTCTGATAATTACATTGCCATAGCTTCATCATCCTGTTCACTGCACCAGTTTTTTCTTTAGAAAAGTAAATGTAAAACCCCATAATTTATCACATTTAGCCACATGACAACAACTATCTTTAGGAGGACATGACCCTTGACACCTTTGGAAATAAATTCAGTGTAGAGCCCCATTCTCTCACTTGGAATTAGATTCAGTTTACCAATCATACGTAACCACAGCTGCAGGCACTGAAAAGCTAGTATGAAAGGGTGTTAACCTTATACATGTACATGTACATATTGCAGTTTTGAACACGTTCAAAAGTTTGAAATTAAATATCAATTCTCAGTAGACTGAAGTTTAAGATAACTTTAGATGCAACTGCAAAATGTTATGACTTAGTCTGGTACATGGGCAAAACTTGAAATTAAGTGAATAAATTTGTGAGATGTATTTTGAAATTTTGATGTCAAATTGCAACACATTAGCTAAAAAAATAAATAAATAAGAAAAACAGGTAAACAATGCTGCAGATTTGAGTTTACAGAACAAGCACAGAATGAGTGAAAAATATTTAAACACTGCTGACCTCTACCTTACCTTTTTCCACTGAAAATAAAAAGTTAATCATCTAAAATCTATTAATATTAATTCTTCTGCCATTGTTGGTGCTATTTTTGAGACCGTCGATGAAGAAAATAATTTGACAAACTAGCCCATAGTGAACTCTGAAATAGCTCCACTCAATCAAGTCAAAAACTTTGCATGTCATAATCAAACTGAAGTACGAGTATGAACATTAATCTTTCTGTGCCTACGAAATACAACAAAATATACCCACTCTTCAAAATGTTCTCTTGATTTCCAAATTCAGGCTTGATTAACTGATGCTTTGCCTATGTCTGAATATGAATATCACAAAAGAGCAGAGCCAGAGTCGAGACAAAACCCAACGTAATTCAGTTAGATTATAATCAGCATAGGGTCTATGCTGGCAAATGCAGTGCAGTGGACTTTGACACAAATTATTTGTGTTCTCTGCCTAGATTCTACATTAAAATTCCTCCTAAAATTAAATGGTTAAAAGCTAGACATAACAACAATTGCCCGTTTCTGTTGCAATTATTTCCACTATTTGCATGGCCATGGCGACCATTCATGTCGAGAAGATGGCAATTAATAATTGTACAAGAATTGAGATTGCATGTTGCAATAGCCGAGCCCAATTTACACATGTAGCTAATGACATCTCGCATTTGCATTCGCACCTACACACTGCATCATTGCGTGCATTATGCATACAGCACCAACCAACCAAAGAATGAATAGTCTCTCAACACTACGAGCAAATAAGCTCATTTCTTTCCTCTTCATACAACAACATTTCATAATGGATTTTCAATTATCTTACACCATTATATTTTTCAATTCGTAAACTACCTTAAAAAAATTACTTCAACATCATATGCATTATACATAACATGAAAATCGCATTTTTATAAGGACGTATCGGTATTCACCTTGGGTAAGCCACGATGTCGCACAAAAAAGGAAAAAACATGGGTATATGAAGCGCCACCTACGATGGAATATAAAGAGCAATTTCAATCGAAATGGCCGATGATGACTGATCTGTAAACAAATGGTAACTCTCACTTGAAGCTGTTTGAAATCTATATAATAAAACGTTTTTATTGTTTGAATTATCAAGACATGGAAGCTGAAGGAGGTACAGATTCAAGGACAGCACACATACCAACAGACATGACCGAGGTTAATCATGAAACGGTAATTTGTTTGCTTGGAAACGATTCATGAAAAGTAATGCCACTGCACTGTGACTGGCACTGACTTGGCCTTTGCCATCATGATCATTCATATTCATATCACTCAATAAACTCAGTCAGAATAACCAGTGAAACTGAATGAGAAATGAATCTGAGTGAATAGTGAAGATTTGTTGATCAGTGATAATGGACTTTAATGAAGAAATAATACAATTTCAGATTTAGAATATTAAACTTGGATTGATATAAAAATTATGCCAACAAAATTGATCAACAAAAATCAAAATGGTCTGTCTGAACTCTGACGAGTGTGATGGTGGTTAATTCTGTTATTGCTAAGTAATGTTATATAACTAGTTTGAGGCTCTGGCTCTTGTCTTGGCATGTTGAAGTGTCATTAAAGTAAACCCGTTAACATTTTTATCAAGAATTGTAATTGTTTTTCGATATAAGTCTAGAATCTAGTACTTTTGTAGTATGTGATTATGTGAAGAATTTTGTTTCTTCGCACTAGAGTAGACTAGGTCTATATTGTGCCAGTTGAGGCGCATCATTAATTTAGGGGGGGGGGTAGGAGGAGGAGGGATGAGAACATTGCTATCGGCCATGCTTGAGGAATTGTTATTCTAGTTCAGTGGATTTTCTCAATACATGCATTTCAGTATTTTTCTTTTCTTTTCATTATATTTGATTTTTCTTTCCTTTCTCCTTTTATGTTTCTCCTCCTCTGTCATCATCATCTACTCCATTTGAGTAATCACTTGTGATACCACTCTTCTTTTTATTATACTTCAGTTTTCATCTATGTCATCGATCATCTGAATCAATCTTGTTTAAATTCCTCTCTTATTTTGATTTCCCTTTTGTCTTTCTTAATATTTTTTTTGACAGGAAACTGGAAGCATTGGCCATGACCAAGCCTCCGAAGTTCCTGTGAGCATCATCAGCAGTGGACCTGTGTACCCCGCATCCCTTGTACCAGGAGCATTGGGAGGGGATGCAGGAGACGGAGCTCAGCCAGAGAAGAAGGACTTTGAGAGCATCTCATTGGAGGAGGTGAAAAAGCCCAGGAGAATCATCCATTTCAGTGATGGGGTACTGGAGGAATACAGCACGGATGAAGAGGACGGAGAAGGCGAAGAGTTGGCGAAGGCGCCTCCCATTGATCCAGTAAGATTTATTGCACCCACCCATTTTTCATTTGGCTGCTTAGCAACCAATAATGCTCTATTTTGTGTTGTTATCTGAGTTAGCGCTTTATTGTTTTATCATTTTATCTTATTTTGTACTCATGATGTATTTATACAATCATTATGTCATGATTGTATTCTGTTTTGTATATTTTTATTGGAATTGAATAAACTGGTTGGGATTAAAGTAAAGGAAATGTTTTCTTTGTAAGAGAAAAGAAGAATATGATATATGTCATAAAGTATGACCTTAAACATATTTACGTTCAGTTATGGTTTGAAAGAAAACAAAATTGTTATAATTTAAAAGCACATCAGTGATAAGTAACAATAATTAGGGAGTTGTTGTTGGTTTAGGTTCATTCTAACTGCATCTAGATCTTTAACTCTTTTCTTTCCTCTATATTTTATTGCTAGAAAACTTTGGACTGGTTGCCCTACATGTGGTACTGTATGGTTAAGTCAGGAACAACTACATACAAAGGTGAGATTGATTTCATTTTTGACTGAAAGGGATTTTGAAGTTTGGTAGAAATTATCTTTGAATGTTTACTTGCACAAAATTAATACATGTATTCACAGTTATCTTCTTAGAAAGAAATTTTTCAATGGAGAAAAGAACCTTACTGAGAAACTCATGATACAACCAATCTGTGTGGTTATATTAAAGTAGACTATGAAGTTCATATGAAATATTGGAAGAGTAAATATTTTCACCAAGATGTTATTTTTTTCCAAATCTAACTAATTTAATATCAAATCTCTTCTGTACTTTTTTTTTTGGAGTAACTGTCTCTTTTTAAAAATAACATGATTCTGCAAAAATATAACATGTGTCCAGAAACATTGAAGGGTGCAATAGCTCTTGATACGGATCTGTTTCTGTTATTTGATGGATTTTAGATCAAAATTTGATCAAATGGTACTGTCCTTGAAATTAAGAACATGAACGCCACATGAGAAATGTATCATCACAATAAATTTTATTTTCCCACAGTTTGTGACTACCTTGGCGAGAAACTGGCATATTTTTTCGGAATCACATCACCAAAGTATGGTTATGCCCTGAGTGAATACAACAGATTAGAGAAAGAGGTAAACGTTCATGAATCATGGCTAAATCAGTCAATTATAAATAATTCACTGTCGAAATTGTTTTCTTTAATTCAAGTAGATTAATTTGGCAAAGTTCTGACCGACATGAATAGTGATCTCACACAGGTTGAAAGAACGGATTATCGATTTTGGAACAGACCAATTAGATGCCCTGAGTACAAAAAATTACACATTGAATCAATGACCTTGACAAATGCTGCCTATTACCTGACCTAAATTTTACATTATTTTCTCTTGCCATACGGCATGTTGTATAATATGGTATGGTAAAAGAGTATGTCAAAATCAAATATATTTTCTTGTTCAGGGCCCCATTCCATCAAACTTATCATCAGTGACAAATTTTGTGACAGTTTTTGTTATAAGCTACTGAAATCCTTGCTTCTGATTGGTTATCAGCAGATTCGGCACTGATTTTTGGCATTTGTCATTGCAAAGAGGCTTTGAGAAACGGGTCCCAGATGTAGAAAGTACACTACCTTCTTGATTCATTCATTCCTTGTGTCTTTTCTACAGGAGAAGGAGGAGCTGGATCGCCAGATGGCTGAGAGAGAAGAGCAGAAGGATCTGGTAACAAGACAGGAGGCAGAGAGAGTATTCCAAGCATCCATGGCCAGTCAGCCTGAACCGGGACTACCTACAAGCACTCACTGAGATAGGGCTCAGTGTACGACACATGCTTCGATGAGAAGTGCTCTGTGGGGTCTGTATCCTATGCAAATCTTAACTTTATCAAGTTAATTTATCAATCTTCAACAAAATTCACTCAAACTTCGATTCCGGGACCATGCAGTACACCTAACCCTAACCCTCAAGGGCTCAACCTATCCCTAACCCGATCACAACCTAACACTCTACCGGTATGTTCAATAAAATCACGTCTTGAAGCAGTTGTTGCCAGAGGATATATGTCAGAGCACCTGAGATAGAGCCAAGGAACTGTTAAAACCTGAAATAATATATTCAGTTTAGAAGAGAGCTTTGTTATGTTTGATTTGCTTGATGAAAATTTGTTAATAGTATCATTACCAGTTTTATTTTGGATGTTGCTTAATTTTAGAAATAAAACGGCAATTTCGAGCCCTTCAAGAAAAGTAGAAAGCAAAGGCTCATTTCTTATCTAAGGTTTTTTTTTCCAGTTTATTATTTAATTGAGAGAGCTTTCGAATAACACTGTGAAACTAATCTTTTTTCTTCTTCTGAGTGAGTGTTTGATATACATCTAGCACAACAAAGGCATAGTATGTTCATTGTTCAATCCACTATGCCATACATGATGACACTCTTAATCCAAATACATGTTACTCATGAATGCAATTGCAGGATATATTTTGGGGGGTCATTACTGCAGCACCAGAAACTTAGTACATTTTGTGAGTACCCGGTACTATTTTTTTGTGGTAGTCCTGCGTATTGCTAAAAGCTCTATTAAGTATGTTTAAAAGTGCTGATTTTGGTCAGAATATAATATATGTTTATACCACCTACATCAAAATGTGGTGCCAGAATTATCATTGTTTCTACCTGTATAATTATTTAGAACATACCTGGATTATATCTTTTGCAATTTGCAAAGATTCATTTTTGTTTTTGAAGGATAGTCAACCATGATAGTTAACTCGCCTTTTCTTTAACTGGTGCAATATATTGTAAGATATAATTTATAACAATCCAAAATCTATTCATATTGAGGTAAGAAAGGTGTGAGAAAATTTGTTCTGTCGATGTTGTGTTTGCTAACTATATTAGGATTGATGTTTTAAAAAACCGCTATCCTGAATAAGCAAAGATGTTTTGGCTGTGGTAGTGTACATTGCTAATTATATTTATTTATAACAATTTACTATTCTGAGGCAATACTGGTACAGATTTATCATGTTACACAGTGCCTTTTTGTTTGTTTTAGTTTTTGTTGTTGTGGTTGAAGCTATTACATTTCCTGTAATCAAGCAAGTGCCTTATTCTTGTACAAACTTGATACACACATTTTAATGCTGAACTATTATGAATTTACGAATACATTCGTTTTGGGATCTTTCTATTGATGTGAAGGTGATTCACATACACATTTATCTACATTCTAATTTGATTTCAATTGTTTTGCTGTATTATGCATTCCTTATTTTTGTATTCATTTTGATGGTGTCAGATTACCATCATAATCATAACCTTATTGTACCAGTCATCAAATCAAGTTTTTAGAAGAGCCTTTTAAGCCTCTCAAGTGAAAAGAGGAAGAGAGATTTAAACTAACTCATGTAAATTAATTCGGTTGGGGGGGGGGCTATTTTATATAATTTCTGTTTTTAATCTTTTCCTCATTTTCTCTTTATTTACTTTTTCAAGTTACATTTCTCTAGAAATTTTTGCTCAAGATGCTTATACAGGAAATTGGATATAATTTTTTTTTTTTTTTTTGTCGAGTGTTTATGAAATTCAACTTTGGAGGTCACAATTAATGTTAGGTATAGATTATTCATTTCTCAATTCTAGTATGTGAGGTTTTCTTAGACCATTTGATGTACTGTAGGTATGCTCCCTGAAATATTTAGAACATATTTATACAATGTATATGGAATTCAGTAGTTTAGGGTAGAATATTTGTATATTAAAGTTGTTGTGATTTTCTGAATGGATTTCTAGTTTCCCTGCTTGTTTTGAGATAAAGTGTTCTTGACAATCTTTACTTGTCTTTCATACATTATATGTTTACTATTTGGTGGTATATACATTAATGTCCTTATTTGGAAGTTACACATTTTGGATGGTACATCCTTCATACTTCAAATAGTTACATTTTGATGATATTTAAATGATTGTCCTTAATTGGAGATCATACTTGGGTGGTGTACTGATGTCATACAATACAGGGTTAGCTTAAAAACAACTGGGCAATTACGCTTCAGCCCACTACATTCAAGCATCTAAAATATATAAGTTCACATGTGTACATCTCTGCCTAGCTCCTACCACAAAGCAACTATTTCACCACAAAAGTTGGAGAATCAATTTGTCTGTTTATAGCCAGAAGGACATTAGCAAAGGAAAAAAATAATATCAATTTAATGCCCTTCTTTTACCAAGGAAAAGATTTATTGATTTCTGCATTGATCCAAATCCTGATCAAACAGTATCTAAATGCTATCTGCATATTTTGGTATGCTCTAACACTTCACAACTACTTATTTAATGACTTTGTTAAAGTATTTTAACATTCCATGTTCTTACAAGCTATAAATCATACTGTTCAATGCAAACTTTGACAGCCAATATCAAACTCATTTATATTATGATATTATATACATGGAATCTAGCTGGAATGTATAAAACTGTTAATTTTTCATATTTATTTACTTTTTGTATCCATTTATTAACATATTTGTTATATAGCATGAATTAAAATTGTGTTTTACAGAAGATTAATATCCTATTTGTGTCTTTATTTATACGTCACAATAAGCTTCAATAGAAGCTGAACAGATGTGATGTATACACATTTTTTTTAATGGATCTGTTTGTCTCCAACCATTAGCTTTCAACTATTCTTTTTAGTCAAAAGTAAAATTTTGTGAAATAGAATTTTGCAGAACAAACTTATTCCATGAGAGTAGTCAGTTCTTTTCTATTACAAGAAAACTTAGAATGGGTCCAAAATAATACTAGTCGTGAATTGTTCCATGGTGTAAGAGAGTAGGTGCATATCATAATCTACTCTGAAATACATGAGCTATCACTGTTCACTTACGATGGCTAGTCAACCCCCCCCCCCCCTTTTTTTTCTTCTAGGTCGGTCGGTTGGTCTATCTCTCTCTTTCCCCCTTCAGTTTTTATCTCCATCTCTCTCTCTCTTTTTCCTTCCTGCTTTAATATACTATCTGCTCTTTATTTTATATATATCTTTTGCTCACTATTTCACTCTGTACAATTAATTTCTGGTGTTTTCTCTAGGCTTTCTCTCTCTCTCTCTCCAGAATTTTTGATCTCTCTATCTATATTATGACACGATTTGTAATGACTTTCTTAAAATTATAAACCATTTTAATGTATTTCTAGAAAATGATCGTTCCTATGGCATCTGAGTGTTATTCGTATTATTCCTTCAGTATAAAAGGAATTTACATTGAACATTTAAGCAAATTACACACGATGCCTGAAACGAGAGAGGGCAGTGTGCCTGAAGTCTGAAGACCATAGAGTATAATTATTGTACAGACAGTTATAGATATAGTAGAGTTAATTCGTAGTACGCGGTTCTAGGACAACCACCCCGAGGACAATTACCCCCCCCCCCCCCCCCCCCCCCGAAAAAAAATCTTCTTCAAATAAACCAACTTGTTATCAGGTTGAACAGAGGCTAATTTCGGAGGGGGGAGGGGGGGGGGGGGTAATTGTCATCGGGGTGATTTTCTAGGGGTGATTGTCGCGATACGGTATCATTTTCACGAAACGTGCCTTCCCTAAACCGAATTTACTTTACACCACCCCCTGCAGCATTTCTCCAGCAAGAATAAAAGGAGTAGGTCTGGTTATCTTTAACTTAAAGAGTTGGTATCAAATTATTATACTCGGGGTATCGGACAGCAGTAGGTGATCTTTTAAGTTTGACATTTTAATTCATTTATTTTTATGACACAATTATAATAATGTCTGACTTCCTATTATGTTCCAATTATCATCTTTTCACCTCCCCTTCCAATCTCTCTCTGCCTCTCTCTGCCTCTCTCTCCCCCTCTCTCCCTCTCTCTCTCTCTCTCTCTCTGCCCCTCTCTCTCTCTCTCTCCCTCTCTGCCCCTCTCTCTGTCTCTCTCTTCACCCTCTCTCTCTCTCTCTCTCTCTCTATATATATATATCTTTCTATCTCTCCTTTCCTCTCCCCTTCTCTTTCTCTCATGCTTGCCATTCAATTGGGGGCATAGCCTATGTGCACCTCCTGTCTCTCTTAGCTATTCTAACGTTGACAACCGTCAAACATATTTCTGTTTTTACATCTTTTTTTCTCGCAATATCAGACAATAAGGGTTAACATGATATATATCATATTATGTCGATTCAATCAGCAAAGAAATTAAGTGCTGCATATAGCCTAATGTTTGATGAGTCATTATAACGAGTCGAATATTAATAAAAGCTAATCGGTTAGGAAGTAATGATCAGCCATTAATCCACATTCATGAAAGATATTATTTGGAACACGAATTACGGACACTAATTTGCTACATATGGGCATAAAATAAAATGGTAATTTCATTTTCATCAGCTAGGTAATCACAATTTGCAGCCGCCAATAAAGGAACTGAAATATGTGAAAACTAGTAGGTCTACACTTCAAATGCGAAGTGTATTAGTTCACAAAAGCAACGCATGCATCATTGCTGTCAAATAATATATTTCCGCATACATGCAGTCGAGGTAAGATTCACCTGCCTTTGCTTCCTGAACGCAATGAAAGGAGGGAAAAGAACACAGGGAAGGTATGAGGAGGGAGATGATTGTTAGAAACGGTAGAGAAATATTATATGGAAGGGAGGGGAACAAGACAGATGAGTGACAGAAAGAGAGAGAGAGAGGGAGAGAGAGAGAGAGAGAAAGTGGAAGGGGTGGGAAGAGATCGAAGTAGGAAGATAAATGGAGGTAGGTGATAAAAAGCGATGGCAGGAGAAAAGAAAAATACATATAGACAGATGCAAGAAAATGTATAATAGGCGAGGGAAGAAGAGAAAGGAGGGGAGAAAGAAAGAGAGAGAGAGAGAGAGAGAGAGAGAGAGAGAGAGAGAGAAGGAACTAAGGAAGGCCCGGAGAGTGAGATGAAAGTTGGAAGATTGGCAAAGGTATAGAGGAGAAAGCGATGAAAGGAAAGAAGGAAAAATATCAAAATATATGAAGGACAGACAGAAGGGCGGGGGAGAGGATGAGGATGAAGAGTGGGAGAGAGAGAGAGAGAGAGAGAGAGAAAGAGACATACAGAGAGAGAAAGAGACAGACAGAGAGAGAGAGAGAGAGAGAGAGAGAGAGAAAGAGAGAGGAGTGGGTGGGATGGGAAGACAGAATGAAGGGAGAGAAATAGATATATTTAAAAAAAAGAGAAATTATTATTATTATTAGAAAAAAGTAGAAGTATAATTATAGTAGAAATAATAATTTGAAATTATGACAATAATAATTAAAAAAACACTACTACTACTACTACTACTACTACTACTACTACTACTACTTCTACTATAATATTATAAGGAGATAAAGCAGTGATGGAAGAGAGGGAAAGTGAGAGAGAGAGAGAGGTTGAGAGAGAGAGAGAGAAGGGGAGGTCCAGAAAAGCAGGTGAAAAATTGGGTAGGGCAAGAATTCGGATGCAAAGGAGAACGGGTCATCCTAGCTGTGCTATACTACTCAAGGTTCGCTCTTCCTAAATGCAGAAGTCATCCTATACTCCCCTTCATCATCCATCTTCTTTTCATTTCTCCTGCAGCAACATGCCAATTCTCTCTCTTACATCCATTCCATATCCATTCCATATCCATTCCACATCCATCATCACTTCTATCACTGCGACCTTCCGAGCATCATTATTCATTTACACCTCTCTCACCCTCTCCCCAGCTAAATATTTGCATTTAGTTTCTGTTCCTCTTCGTTGTCATTTTCATTTAAAACATAGTTGTATAGATAACACAAGACTAACCAGTGACGTCAACATTGCAGTATACAAAGATCGAGATATATTGTTTCATTTCACTTTCTTTTATTCACACCTTCAATCTGTTTCACTCTGCTCGTAAAAATGTATCAATCTATACTAAAAACTTGTGACAAATTACTCATGTGCAATCATACATAGACTTTCATGTAAATAAGTTACTGGTGTTTGTGGTCACACATAACACTTCAACGAATGTATTATTGTAGCATCGTTTTCAGAAGGAGCAAGAAAAGTGAAATCAATCTGTTTGGAGCCAGAAGGGTATCAACTCATATTAGTTTATAGTTAACGCCCTTCAAGCTCCAAACAGCTCCCTCTTTCACCATTTTTTATTATCGTGTAGGCCTATGTCTATTGTATTGTGAATGTTGAGGAGAAGAGACCCTCGTACCCACATTTTCAAGGTGAAAAATAGTTGATATACTGAAACGACTTCCACAATTTCACAATTCTAAAAAAAGTACGTTGAACTTTCACTGCCATAGTATCCTGGTGCTGTAGTTTTATAAGGTTTTGACCTTAAAAGACCCCTTTTAATAGTTTACAATAAGACAAACGTTTACACTCTTCACCATGCTCTGTCAATATTTTCAAATCGGTTCTATCAAACTTAAACACATACGTATGACTCGATATTCTTTGCAATAGATGATACTTGATTGCCATCATGTAAGTCATAAACATAATTTTTTAACATAATGTCCAAAGCGCACAAAAATGAAGATAAGGAATACGGCGACACACTGATTATGTCTGCACTTATCTATAGGTACAGTTGTCTAACACTGTTGTGAAAATACCCACATTATGCTATTTCATTGGTGTTCATTTAGATGACAACTGAGGTAACTCAACTCTTGGTTTTCAAATAATGAAATGTAATTTAAAGACACGTTTTTAAAAAATCATTATGATGAGCACTGTTGAGGTAGTTCATCTGTTTATATCAAATAATCGTCAACAACACAATCCTAGACTTTCGGAAGGTCAACCCAAGACAATCTTTATAGCATTGGTCGTAACCGAATAGGGTGATGAAATATTGCATAATCCGTACATGACTATTATCATAGGTAAAACAATGGGGAATTGAAATTGACCTTTAGTCGATTTCTTGAAAGTCTTTGTGATCGTGTTCAATCTTAACTGGTTCCGTAGCACAAAGAGAAACAATCGATAGTCGTCTTGATTATTTTGATAATTTCTTCAAAGTTAACACTCCATAAAATATGACTCCTTCAAAAACATGACCCATACACACTGATGGCATCAAGGGGAGGTGGATGAGAGGGGTGTGGGAGGGGGCATACAGGTATAATGGATGGGTTGGGGTATAGGCTGGGGCTAAAAGAGCCATGTTCTGTTTTTGCATCCTTAACTGAATGAATTCCGGGAGGGCTGGGTAATGATGCCTTGTCTGGTTCTAGATTAATAATATTTTGTTGTTGTCCCGATTGCTTTTCTATTTAATGTTCAAGATCGGAAGTCCCAAACTGACACAACAAGATCATCGCATTGTACAATACTATTATGCAATCAGGTCTATTATATAATTTGTTGTTGTTGCTGAAACTATTTATGGCCTTATTCATCGAAGAGAGAGGGACCAAGATAGTTGGTTACTGCCTATATTGACCGTACCTCGATGCGTTTGACTTCTCGTCGAATTATCATCATCACCAAACAAGTGATGCGATCCTTCCTGGTGGTGGTGATGATTAGGGGCTTGTTGACTGACAGTTGTCCTGCCCCAGTCGGCATACTTGCGATATCGTGCGATGCTCTGCAGCCAACAGTGAAAGTTGATCTTGTGGTTGTCCGAAAACCACTTACTGGCGTACGCGGTCGCGATCAGCATATGGACGTCGTGCTCGTATTTGGATCCGCACCGCGCGAAGTTGTCATAGCAACGCTGGATGCAGGTGAAGATGCGGTTCTGGTCGATGTTCTCGGGTTTCTCCTGCTGATGACAGGCGATGAGGAGGGAGAGTTTTGAGACGCCGTCTGGTTGGAAGCCGTATGGATAATCGGCGTCGAATTCACACATCTGAGCTTTGAAGAGATTGAACTCGGTTCGCTTTCTCTGTAAGTCGATACGCGCTTTGGACAACTCGCGCTCCAGTTTTCGATTATCGGCTTGGCAAAGGTGAAGCTGCTTGCGGCTGTGCTTCAGCTGTATCTCAAGCGCGTTCAGTCGCTGGTTCAGCTTCTCGACGTCGGGCGCATCTGCTGTCGGTGAAGTCTGGGTTGAAGTCTGCAGCTGCCCACTTTTCTCGAGGGTATATTTCTCACATTCCACCGTGTGTGTTGGGTAGTCGAGTCGGTTGACCACGACGCCACAAGCCACGCATTCTACAGGTCCGTAGCCGCAGGAGTCAAGGTGCTTCTCCAAGTTCTCGACACCCAGAGTCAAGGTACAACCGCGGTCGGCGTTGCTGCAGTAGATGGATAATACGTTGATCATTTCCCGGATCGCCCAGACGGGGCTCACCTGGAATTTGCTGATACAGGTGCGACACTGAGGACACGTTCCCGCCAATGGTCTAGCCAACCAGGTATCGAGACAGGTATGACAGAAGGCGTGCCCACATCGGGTCAGGACGGCATCCCGCAGAACGCATGCGCATATGCCACAAATCAGATTGGGGTTGGGCTTCGTCACAAACTTTTCCGTGGAATACCCCATCTTGTCGGATGAGTCAAATCACAACAGCAGAACAATATTCACCACATAAACAATAATCTTGAAGATTAAATAGTAGGCCCCCTTCTCCTGTACTACATCGGCCTATAGAGAACTTCGACGGTATCTCTTATAAGGACTACAAATAAATACAAAGTTACTTGAGAAATGTTATCACTGCTTCATATTAAAAATTGCTGAACAAGAAAAGTAATAAACTGATGCAGACAAATCCGAAATGCAATCAGTATGCGAGGACGAGTTGAACTGTTGAATGCACAGGCAACTAGAGCACTGTATAGATACTGCAACCAAATTATTGTCGGCACTTCCAATGATCCATACGACCGTTCAGTCTCTAATAATAGGTGACAATCATAACCAAGGCAACTTGATCCAATTTTTTCCTACACGCAGACCCTGGGACGCAGATCATCCACACCACGAGATAGTATCCACATTCAACATCAGCATGAGATAGCGCCGATGCATCCAGATGCGATCCTAATCAAATATTGAATTAGACCAGTCAAATATAGCATGCCACGTGGGAGCCGCTAGCTCGCGACTTTTAATTTGATAAGCACAGCAGTGGTATGTACATTCTTACCCGTCAGGCAATCCCCAAGTATGTTATTAAATGGGACTGATATATTATATATAGATGCAACGCATGCCGGAAGTATGGCATAGCAAGTGAAGCTGACCTGCACGTACGTGTAACTATAATGCTGTGATCTCCCGATTGATAAATGTCACTGGGAAAAAAAGGCGGGAAGGAAAGAGTAAAAGTTATCTAAAAAGCTGAAGGTGACGAAGATCGAGTTGTTAATAAGGTGTGGTCATATGGGCAGAGAAATGTAAGATAGATATATCTTAGTGCCCTTGCAGAAGATTTTCTCCAAGCTAAAGCATGATTAACCACGCCAACTATTTAAGCAGTCGTATATGCCGGCGGTGATCACTAATATCATTCTGTCCAAACTGATAAATCGGGTAGACAGGCTATCAGAATCAGTTACATGATGATACATTGCTGTAAGTTGACTGGTAAGCACATATCTTAACAGAATGATCCCGATGCGTCAAATTAATTTATGACGTAGTCACCCGAGACAAGAAGGGTTAAATGGTTAACGGGATCATCGTGCGAAACGCTGATAATTAAATCTTTAGGCGTTGATTGCAAACTGCGGATTAAGTTTTATCCTTCTCCGTCGTCACACAAATCATCTTTCACAAGTACATGATTTCGTCGCAACTGAAGGCGATGAATTTCCGCTTGTATGTGACAGTTATTTTGACATGTGGCGGTATATGGGTTATTTCATAATATTATGTTGCTATAGACCAAGATACAGTAAATTAATTTTGTTCTAAGAGTACAGGCTTTGTCCATGACCGTGTATAACAAAAGGAATGAAAGCACAGCGTTGGTTCATGAGCAACTTGATAAATGAGAATATTGTCCGTTCTTAAAAGTCAAACATCAGTATTTTCATCGCTTGGATGGTAGATTGATAATGTTCGTATCTGACTCGATGAAAGAGAAATGGATTCAGATCGAGATTCGAATGTTTAGAAGAAGAAATCTGACAATATACAGAGAGTTGTTAATAATATTATTGATCATGTAGCTGCGGTATGATGCTAATGTCCAAGAATTCGAATCCTCCTTTAAACCAAGCCGCTTACTCCACTCCGCTCTTGATATACAAACGATGCAAACAATTCATTTCCAACAAGACTGGCTCAGTTGTGTAAAGCAATACAATTTCAGGGTACCACGAACCGCTGACAAAATCACATGGGCAAGTTGTAAACAGAACGCATCTCTCTCCATTCACTATCGAGAGGCATCCATTGAGTCTCCAAGGCACAGGAAAATAACGCGGGAAACGGATGCGACGTTATCCGACAGCCGACCAAGTCATAACGCTCTCCAAGACGCGAGCTAGGAGTGCATAGGTAATGAATGTCTCATAAAAACACCAAAAGAAGATTCGCTCGCACCTCCGCCGCGCGTTGGAAGATATATATACGACCTCCTCCCGTAAAGACACTCTCGTCCTCGAGAATTACCGGGCCTTACAACACGGAGTTCGGCGCCATGGCTTGTAATGACAGGTGAAGACAGCGCAAGAAGCTTACGGTGCGCTGAATAATATATTAATGAGGAGTATAGCTGGTTGGCTAGCTACTCCGTGCATCTTACGTAGTCAGCGCAATTAGAGTCCTTGCATACAGCACACTCTCATCCAGTAATGCCGTGCCTATTATCCCAGTGTATCGCCTTCAGACCCAGTGATTTGGATGCTGATGAGTGATGTTTAAAGGGAATAGCTAAACGTGCTTAATAAGAAGTCTTATTAATTATGTAGACTGCTCATTGCCGTTTGAGTTTTTGTGTGCAGAGACACGCAGGAGGAATTAAGTGGAATGCCATATTTGACATTAAACACTTAAAAATATGAAATGTTTGTATGTGAGCTCTATATCACTTAATAAAAGTCTTTCTTCAATCTTTGCATGAAATTAAATTGGGAGAAGGGGAAATAATGATCTAGTCTGTCACCACTGCACTGGGATAGGAATGTCTACCAGTGAATAATCTTTCAATAGTCAAATAATTATTTAGACCGAATAAATAGTGCACACATAATTAAAAGCTGTATACTTCATGTTTATAAATAAGAAAACTGTAACTACATGTATATTATATTATATGGGCTTATGGGAAATGGATTAAATACCCCTACAACGCCTCCTAAATAAACAACAACAACAACAACAACAAACAAATCAAAACAACAATATCGTCAACAAAAATCATGATCATCTTATTAAGGGATCGGTAAGTTCTAGAGAAAATAATGTTCTTGAAATATGCTATTCAAAAATGACAAAATTGCACAATATCTTTGTTGTGTGCCTTATTTCTTTTTCTATAATCCGTTGCCTCGTTCATTCAGTGAAATATGAAGAAAGAGGATTATGTAGGAAAGGGAGAGAGAGAGAGAGAGAGAGAGATGGAGAGAGAGAGAGAGAGGGTTTTTTTATGGGGGGGGGGGGGGGTGGAAGAAAGAGAGAGCAGTAATCAAGCAGCTGTTGACTGCTTCGTGATGCTAATTATGCATAATCCGGCTTATAATAAGCTCTTTGTTTTACACCCCAAGAAAGAGAATCAGTCTTCTTCGAGGGTAATTAGGTGCTGCTCTGTTAAAGACATGCACCATTGTTGGTTTGAGCCGATGCTCATTTTACGAAATTGGGAGGAAATCTAGACTCCCCTATGAACACTTTATAGTAGAGAAATTTAAATGCTGTTTTTGTAGGCCTTTCAAAAATACATTTTCAGATATAAAATAGAGAGAGAGATATATTAATGAGAGCGATAAACGGACAGATGGATGGAGGGAGAGAGAGAGAGAGAGAGAGAGAGAGAGAGAGAGAGAGAGAGAAAGAGAGAGAGAGAGAGAGAGAGAGAGAGAGAGAGACAGACAGAGACAGCGGGGGGGGGGGGGGCTGCGAAAAGAGTCCACGTATTTAAGATACAGATAAATACAACCAGCTGTGTCTTCGAGTTGACGATTCAATTCGCCTTCCCTTTCCACCATGACTCACTCCTCCTCATTAACATAGATGCCTCAAATCCTACCACATCTTGAAAATATTTTACAGCTTGAATATACGACCGTGGAATACTAATGCCGCGGTATGTTAATGGTCAAGCGATGGAAAATATAATGTATATAATATTCTCCTCCAACCCCATCTCTCTCTCTCTCTCTCTGTCTGTCTCTATATTCATTTCTTTCTTTCTCCCTCTCCCCCTTGTTTTAATTTCCTTTTTTTCCTCACTCTCAATAAATATTACGCCTTCTCATCTCCCATAATATTAGTATTTTCTAGCTCTTCCATCCCCATATCTTTCTCCAACTCTCTCTATTCTTTCTTTCTCTCTCTCTTTAACACCCTCTTCTCTTTCTATTTTCCTTTCTCTCACTCTCAACTACTCTGCTTTATTATGTTAGTCTTCTCCTCCAACATCATCTCTCCCCCTCTTTCTTCTGTCTGTCTCTCTCTCTCTCTCTATATATACATTTCTTTCTTTCTCCCTCTTTCTTCCTCGTTTCATTTTCCCTTTTTTTCTCACTCTCGTCTGCCTTCTCATCTCCCACGTTAGTATTTTCTCTTGAGTCCATCCCCATATCTCTCTATTTCCATTATTCTTTCTCTCAATTACTCATCATCCGTTGATTATCCTATTAATGTTTTTTTCCCCACAAACCCATCTCCTTTCTTCTCTCACTCTCAATTACTCCAAATCCTCCTTATCATTACCGTCATCCATATCATCATAGCCCCCCTTTCTCTGTCACTCCCCCTATCTCTCTCTCTCTCTCTCTCTCTCTGCTTCTCTTTCATTTTCTTTCTTCCTCTCTCATACTAATTTACTCCTCAGGCTTTCTTATATTTGTTCTCCTTCGTCGCTCTCCATTTGTTTCAATTTCTTCTAAACCAATGTGCAGATATTCTACCTTAAAAATGAAAGATGTCTACACAACTGCTGGAACTGAAAAGGATGAAAATAATTCAGCTTTACCCAATCTCATTTCAATTTAATTTCCATTTACAATGAAATTTATTGGAGATGTGCATGAATAATAATAGTGATTGTCATAATCATTATAATCAATTATTTAAAAGTGTTCACTTATACCTGACTAGTCCCTTAGCTAAGCTAAATTAGCAATGCCATATTTATAAAGATGACACAAAGTTATAAGCTCGTCACTTTCAAGAAGGTATTTACTGGTTTCCAATGTTTATGTGTTTTTAAATGTTTATGCCCAGATAAGAAATGTCTGGAAGGGGCTTTCGGATAAGGCGGCTGCTGTGATTGTACATGCCTTAATGCATCACAGTAAAACAATGGAATTTTTTTGCTTTCTGGAATAACCCAGCTTCATCTGAAGAAATTGCAATATGTTCAGAAATCTTCCAAGAGGCAGGAAGTTAGACTACATAACCCCTACACGTATTGCACTACACTGGCTTCTTGTATCAGAGGTGATAGTGAGCACTAAAATAAAAATAGGTTTTTTGTTTTCCCCCCAACCACGCCCCCTTTGAGTAAAAAAAAAAGAAGAGGAGGATTCGCGGGGAAAAAATAGCATCTAACAACATTCCCCCCTTTTCGAGTAAGAAAATTGGGGGAAAATTGGGGGAAAAATAGGGAAAAATAGGGAAGAATAGAGAAAATAAGGATAAAATAGGGAAGAAAAAAAAATTGGTAAAAAAAAATAAAAAATTGAGAAACAGATTTAAATCGGGTTTTTATCAGGCCT